ACACAACCCGGCCAAGCGGCTCACACACACAAAGCCCTTGCAACGGTAGCTGAAGGATCAGTGTGGTGTGTGAAGCCCAAGGGAAGGTTTAGGGCCGGCAAAGGGGACGAGGGGGCGTGCCTGCAGCCGTAGCAACCGGGGTGGGAAGACCCAGACGACCCCAAAGTACGCCCGGAAGGTCAGCCCCGGTCGTCCTGGTGCTACCAGGGGCATTTACAGGGCCTCGCCTCTGCCGGGGTGGGCTGCCGGGGCCTGTGCACGCGGCCCACGACGCGGCGGAGGGAGTCGTCAGGCAGCCCCTCCCCCAGCCTGGCTCCCCCATGGCGGGGGACACGCATGCACACGGACAGGCGCCATCGGGCAGGCCCGCCGCTCCTCCGGAAAGGCTGACCAGAGGTGAGCAGTCCGGCTGGTCTGGAAAACTCTCAAAGCAATCGGGCTCCACGGGACAGGTCGGTTCTGTAGCAATGGCTTTGGTAACCAAAGAAACAAGTGGGGGACAAGGACAGAACGAAGGACAGAACAGATACAAGGAGGGCGCTTACCCACGGTGCAGGCTACAAAGTAGACCCTGGACGACTGCACCTGGATGTCGAACCTGTGGCAGTAGGCCACGAGCAGCCCTGCGGGGAGAAGGCACGTGGGCCCGGCGGCGTCCCGTGTGACGGCCGTCCCTGCTTTCAGACGGGGCTCGGCGGCCAGCCCGCCACCCAGGGGGCAAACCCCGCCTGCTCCGCTCAGGCTCCACCCACTGGACGCTCCCAAGGCCGCCCACCTCGCACCCCAGTACCTGGCACCAGGATGTCCCCGAAGCCCAGGAGGGAGAAGGGCCGGTCACACAGGGCCAGCGGCGAGGCGTTCAGTCGGGGCACCTTCAGGACCATGGGGAGCTGGGGGGAGCAGGAAGTGCCATGTCTCAGGGGGCGCCGCGCGTGCCCAGCACTCTTCTCCGGGCAGCGCCCCGGCCGGGGGCCCCCTACGTACCTTCTCGTGGGTGGCCGAGTCCGAGGGCCCGGTTGCCACCTCCACCATGATGCTGTTCCCACTCTAACAAAGGGGGGGGTGTCAGAGAAGGGGCACGGGGACAGGGGGTGCAGCGGCAGGGCAGGGCGGGGACGCCCACCTTGGTCAGAAAGGGCGTGATGAACACAAAGAAGACGTCGTAGACAAAGAGCACCAGCAGCAGCAGCGTGCAGGCCTGGGGAGAGGACGTCCTGAGGGGCCGCGCTCAGAGGGTCCCCTGCGCACACCCCCAGGCCGCGTCCCCACCCCCACCTCCCCCCACAAGGCTCAGCCGTGCCCACGGGACAAAGCAGCTAGGGGCAAATCTGAGCATATCCAGTCCCATCCCCTGGAGCCACGGGAGACCAGGGCAGCACGTGAGTCAGGCCACGGTTCTGAGTGATGGAAAAGCTGGAAGGCAGGTGGCTCCAGCGACACGCATGCTGTGGCTTTGGGGCAGTGACGCCCCTTCTTCACGTCTTCCCGTGGACTTCTCGGTCCTGCCCACGGGGCCTGCGCTGGCGCTGCCGCTCCCGTTTGCCTGTGTGTGCGCGGCTCACCAGCAGGAAGTTGACCCGGCACCGCCACGGTGGCCGCCTCGGGAAGGGCCCCGCCCTGCGGCCGCCTTGCGGCCCCACCCGGGCATCCTCAGCGCCAAGCTGTCACTGGCGTGGCCGCCACACTGGGAGGCGATCCTGCGGCTGATCCTTAAGCCCTGACACCAGAGAGGTGGCGGGACGGACAGAGGCACAAAGAACATGCTGTCCACAGGGGACCCAGGACACCCTGGGCGGACACGGGGGCGGGCCGGCCTGCAGCCGCCCTGAGGACACAGCCCCCTCCCATCCGGCGGCCCCACCCCCTTGGGACCCTCACCTTGAAAGTGGGGAGGCGGATGGTTTTCAACATGTAGAGGCAGAAGGCGACGCCCAGTGCGTCCTGAAGGATCCAGGCCCACCTGGGGAGCAGAGTGGTGGTCACCCGCTGGGGCAGGGGCTCCACCAAGAGCTATGACCCGGCGGGGTCGCTCCCTCCTTGGCCACCTTGGCTCCCAGCTTGTGCAAGCTGTCCGTTCCCAGCCCGACCCCATGCTGTGAAGACACAGGCACGGGACCAAGGCTGGGGGGGAGGCGGGGGGAGTGAGGCAGGAATGGGTGCACACGCTCAGGGGCTGTCTCTCTTGGGTGGTGGCGTTCACCCCCACGTCACGGGACGGGGCGGGGGGATGGGGTGGGGACACTGTGCAACTATTGGACTCTATCGGACTCAGGTTTGCTTCAAAACTATTTTTTATGTGATTTAGCAAAGCCAAATGCTCGCCAGCCAGGTTCTACACCAAATCTCTTGGTCCCAGAAATGGGGGCTCAGGGACTGCAAGGTGGCGGCGGGGGGGGGGCGG